ATTTTCCGTATTTTGACTGGGCACAGAAAATTGAAGATTTGAGCAAATAAAAAAATTTTGCACAGAAATACTCCAAAAAATACGCTTATTTCGTTAAGTGAAAAAAAATTTTGGGGTTTAGGTGCACTTTAAGATTTTGATTTAAAAATGTTAGCTTCAGGCCTGGGACTTTCTTTAAACTTTTCTTTAAAGGCCCTGGGATTGACTCCAGCATTCATTAGACTCTGAGCCCTACCCCTCTTTCATTAAATTATCAGTGTGTCTTGAACATTCTGTTTAGTGTCTCAGTAGTTTATTTTTTTTTCTGATAAGAAATAAAATTACTATCCTCCAGCGACAATTGCACCAAAGAACTCATATATTTATTGTGTACCTGCAGTTACTCTGGCATTATTTAATGTTGTGTGGTATGGAGTATTGGTATTTTTTATTTAAAGGTAATCAAATATCTACGTTTGTGTAAATAACACAATGAAAATATTTTGAATAATTCAGTTTGTATAAGGTTGAATATTTTAGGGGAGAGCCCTAAATTTGTGACCATGTCAAAAAATTTAAGTTTGTCAGAATAAAATTTTAAATAATGACGAGGTTTTAGTAACTCAGAAATAAAGCTTAAAAATAAAAACTGACAGAACTGGTTTGGTCATCTGTCTCACAGAAAGTCCCTTCTGATGCAGCCCACAATGTTTGGACTGTATACTGCTTGAGTCTTTGTTGAAAACCAAGCAATTTGAATGAAGCTAAATTCATTTTATTATCAGTCAACCCTTTAACTGCAAAGCTGTGGTCTAGCAGCGCCTGGTGGCCCCTGGCACCTTACTTTTGCTCTTGGGTGACTCAGGAATTTAAATTTTTTCATACAAAGTATATGCTGGGCACTCTGAATTTCACAGTTTCAGAGAACTGGGCTCCATTCAATTTTCCTTAGAGCACAGCCTTGAACTCCCAAATGTGATTGACATGTAACTTCTCCCATTAATAATTTATCCATACACTATCAGCTAAAAAGGGAAACAAGAACACTCAAACCTGTAAGGTAGAAGTTGTTGTCATGATCCAATCCCAAATTCTCGTAACCAATTTACGAGGGAACGTGTGGCAGCTAGAGAGGAGAATTAACAATCAGGTAATTTAAGAAATAACTCAGTTGTTGCCTGAAGAAGACTTGCATTGTGCTGTGGAAATGCGATCTACATCAGAAGTTACCAGATTCTAAGAAATTCTTTTTTCATTTAACTATATTATTCATTGTTTTCCCCAAAAGCACAGAGGCTTATCAAGGGGGATTACAATTAAACAAATTTAAATTCACTTAAACAGGCTCTCACACAAACAACACACAAATTCCAATAACAACTTGTCAAACTTACATATCAAGAGATATCATTGTTATTTAAACAATCAAACTTCCATTAAAATGTATGTTTTCAGCCAAAAGGAGTTGGTAGATATAAAGTAAGAGGGACATCTTTGGAGATATCAAAATAATTTTCAGGTATTAGGTACATTTACATACTTGGCCAAAAACACTGACTGATGTTTGTTATTTTTGTAGTTACCTTAGGTGCATTAAGTGTGCATGATCTGTAAACAGCTCTAACAGCTAAATTGCTACAGATGTAGAAGTTTAAATCACACATACACACAAACACAGAGAAATCATTTTGAAGACAAGTACAAATCAATGGTTTATTCGATAATAACAATAGTAACTTTGTCAGCTTTGAGCTTCTCAAACTACCTTACTTTCCTAATTGGCAGAAGCAAAAAGAGAGTGAAAACAATAAAAATTAATTAAATGAAAAAAATATTTGATACTTTACAACCTTACATAATTTTAAGTTACAAAACAATTCAAGGAACAAATTGCACCCCTGAATCACACACTGAAAATTAAAATTAATAAATCTAATACTTTAATTTGTTTTGGAGTTCAAAATCACAGTTTAAGAATAACAAACTTTACAAATGATGCCCATTTTGCTTTTGATCTTTGTTTTCAGTGCTTGTTTTGACTGCTGCTGAAATGTTTTGGCCTGAGCAAAATGTTGCATTTGCTTACTGATGGAGTTGCTTTTAAATTTTCTTTCACACCAGTTAAAACAAAATCTGCTCAACTTGTGAGTTTAGAAATTTTAGAATTTTCAGAAAAGTGCACAACAGATATGAATGAGGCCCTAATATTTCACTTTCTTCTCAACTGACACTCAAACTGGTGTGCAAGTATTTTTAACTTAAGACAGTAAAATTTCCATATTGCTCAGGACTTTCAATAAATAATTAACATTTCATATAATCATGTTATTTTGCAAAAGTACCAACCAAGGTTATCGACTTATCAGTTTCTTCTTTCAACAAAAATCCTTGCAGTAATTTCACAAATCATTAACATCCTTGATATCATTGTAATTCAGCACTGTCCAGCAGTTCCCTTCTAAGAAAAGTTTAAGAGTATAGTAGATCAATCATATGCACCATCAGTAAAAATATTGAAAACCTGAAGTGGGCTGTCACAATTTTGGGTTGTTTCAGCCCAAACAACTGGGCTACAAACAATTTCCTATGTCATTATTTTGGAATGATGTTGTTGGTACCAAAAAATTACTTCTATTTCTTGCCCCCCATTTCACTAAAATTTGGTGAAAAATTTGTTAGGCAAGCACATAGTTAAGATTTCTTGAGACATTTGATCTGACTTCAGACCACTGACACTTAGTTTCAGCTCAGCCTCTATTGATCAAATACAAACTTTCATTACTTGATCTGTCAGTTTGAACTTTCAGGTTGGGAAAAATTCCAAACACAATGTGACTGAGCCCACTTTTGAAAAGGACACCAATTAAGATTAAACTAGCACTATCTATTGCAATAGTGGTATTGCATAACTTGGATGCTACTTGCAGGCAACTAATGTTTGCCTTTAGGCAACTAATGTTTGCCTTTAGGCAACTTGTATGTCTTTGCTTTTATGGAAATGATCTAGGCACCCCTAGTTTCTGCAAAATTACCTTGCACAGGTACCAAGTAATGCTTCTAAGAGCACAGCTTTAAGCTAGTGACTGAAGAGGTGAAAAACTATTTGTACAAAAGCAAGAAGCAAGATTGTTGTTCCACTCAGCCTATTTACAATGCATGGGGGGTAAAAAGAAAAGGAGATGGTAAGTTCAAATTAATTCCTATGAGAATCTGAGTTTTCCGAATACACACCTGAATCATTAATCACTTAAATGAAAGGGGTTTAAAGGAAAACACACCTGAATCATTGCACAAAGATCACTGGGGCTTCTCACTATGCCTCTATTTAACCCTTTACAGTGCTTAACTTCCATGAGTGACCAACACAGAATTTCTCCTTACAATATCAATACAATATCAAGCAGTCGAGTGACAAGAATAAAGAAAAATGTCAAGTAGGGGATGAGTACTCAATCAAATGCTAAATTCTCCAAACTTACATTATAAGAACTGCATGACAGAGAGTAAAGAGAATTAACACTGGGATCTTGAGAGTGAAAGGGTTCAATG